AAATTCTTTAGGAGAACCATCGAATCAAATGTACATGCATTAAGGTAATGGTTCTCAATATTAACATGTTTCATTAGGTACATATTTTGTTTGTGAGATTGTATCGGTGTACTTCCATTAGGCTGCCCCGTCACATAATGATGACAGAGCCCCTAAGGAAATGTCCACGTTACCTCAGTAGCGCCGCTTCGGTGCCGGAAATAGCACTAGCCCCAATCTCAATTTTAATGACTAGGGTAAGAATATTAACTATTTATAGAGCTAAATATTCTATAAAATAATGAAGTAAAATTTTTGTTCTACCACAAATAATGAAGAAATTGAAGAAGACACTTGAACTACCAAAAAGTAATACCAAATTATTTTTCCATTCCTTTCCAGTTCGTGCTGCTTTACTCTGGAACAGACTTCCCTCCAGTATTCAAGACTGTCATTCCATTGTCTCCTTTAAAGCAAAGGTCAAAGAGCACTTTCTGGCTAATAAATTCACACTCTTAATTGTGTATTTATTCCACTCTTTGTTTTATATTAACATAATTTCGTGTAATGTGTATTTATTATTTTATAGTGTATATGTTTATGTATATATATATATGTATGTATTTATTGTAAGTATTTGTGTGTATACATATGAATATATATTTATATGTAGTCTTAGATAGGTTTATAATCTGCAAGTAGGTACTTAGTGCACATCTCTACACCCGCTTACATTTTTCTCTCACTTAACCTTGGTTGGCTGGAAGAGATCTCTCTTACAGATAAGCCCTCATTTGCTCACATATTTTTGTTTTGTATCTTACAATTATTATGTGCAATAAGGAGTATAATATAAAATATTCACGAAGTTATGACCAAATTTTTCGGCGGGCCGCGTGGTGGCTGTGACGTCACAGAGCTCTAGCGCGTGTGGCGCGAGAGATGCTACTGAAGTTCGCCCGGAGTCAACCACGATCGAGCTCCGTGACACATTTCGGCGGCCGGTGAATATTGGCTACCATAAAATTTGTTATAAAATCGCAACGAATGAACCGATTTCGATGCTTATTAGATCAGTATACTGTGATTAAAGTTGATTTGCTGACCTAGTAATAATACAATACGATACAATACACAATACTTTATTGAAAACACCACAACACAGAACAGAAATGAGGGAAATTACAATTGTAAAAAAAGAGTGCTTCAATGAGCGGTTTCTTCCAGACAACCTTTGGATGGAGAGGATTGAAAGAAAGCTAGAGTCGGCGGTGTCAGTAAAAGAAACAAGGTATATAAACGAATTTATGAATTCAATATACATACATATATGTATACATATTATACAACACATAGACTACACTTAAATAAGTTTAGACCAGTCAGCAGAGATAAAAATGCAGCTACATCGACAAAAAGTGATTTACAACTAGATTTTTAAAGACATTAATAGATTGCGCTCGTCTTATGGATACAGGAAAAGATAATTCCATAATAATCCTCGTTATATAGTAATATATATATTAAGAGAGGTGAATTGGAGCGCCCGTCTGAGGAAGTAAACTCCACCAAACAGAAGACCACAGTAAAGTAACACAAACTTTTTGTGGTGTTTGTGTTTTTGTCGGTAATGTTCCAGGGCTCCACAGGGTAGGAGATTGGCTCAGGGTAGGCACCGGAGCAAGTGATATTTTTTGTATCACAAGTGTCTATTTGCTATGGCGGCCGCTTACCAGCAGGTAGGCCATTGTATTTGCCACCCTTTTATCATAAAAAAAGACAAGCCAGGAGGGGCACTGGTCACTATCTCGATACCTCCTTATATAATGTCGTTAGTGTATTTAATCAACTTTACAATACAGCAATTTTAAGATTTTGCAAGGACATTATTGGTTCCCATAGGTACAGTTATTCTTGTACGAGCACCAAAATTAGCATGCGCCTACATATTAATGATTAATGATTGGAATGTAACCTTTCGTTAAGATTACTCGAATTTTTTGGTGGATTTTCTTAAAAGTTATTATTTTTTATATATTATTATTAGATATTGTTTTTGTATATTTATTTATGTACCTATATATTTATGTAATTACTAGCTGACCCAGCGAACTTCGTACCGTCCTAAAAAAATAGGGGTTGTCCAGCGGACAAAATTTGAATCTAAACCATTCTCAGATCCCCTTGAACACACACAAAAAATTTCATCAAAATCGGTCCAGTCGTTTAAGAGAAGTTCAGTGACATACACACTCACAGAAGAATTATATATATAATAAAGATAAGTATGGTTGTATGTATAGGTAAGTGTTAGTAAATTTGCTCATTGATTGATTTTAACTTTCTTTATTAAGTCTCTGTATGTTCTTTCCGGTTGATTGGTAAAGAAAACCGTATTGGCATTAAGTCTAATATTTACAATGTAAGGCAAAAATTTATTAAAAAAGTCACATACTGTTTTAACGTTGGAAAATAACAGAAGTGATTAATTGTATTAGCTTCTTACACTTTTGTAGAAATTGACAAAATTTTTCGTCTTGTCAAAACAAAGGTGTGTCATGTACTCGCCGTTTATGTTGATGTCAAGTCCTCTCCGGTCCAAACACATCCTTCAGCGCAGTTGTTTCGGCGAATAACGCCCTGTCTCCTGTTGCATCTGTATTAGTTTTGAGTTTTGGTCCTGAAGGCGGACTCATGTGGCATTTTCGTAAAATGATTGCAACACTTGGATGTACCGATAATCTACTCGGCACCTCTGGAGAAACTGAAGCATGGCCCGCGTCTCGACAGTATCGAAGGCTATTTCATAATCCGCAAACACTAACCACAGTTAATATATATATATATATATATATATATAAGTCAGGCAGGCCAGTGTTCGTGTTCGTTCGTATTCCCATCCTTTGCGCATTAAAGTTATCACATAGCAATATTGGGTGTTCTTGATCTTTGTAACACATAAAATATGAACTTCTTGCTAAGTTACTTCGTTAGTTAAATAATACTTTTTGATAAACTACCTGATGGACGAAAAAAACTTAAGTCATCATCTCTATTTTTAAATATTTATTACTGGCTGCCTCAAAGTCCTTGTGATACTTTGCTATGTACCCAGCTACCACCGAACTATTAAAAATTGAAGATTGGCTCGATAGTCATTATGCTTAAAAATTTAAACCAACCGAAACTATTCAATGAAACGAGTTTTATCAGAAAAATAAGTTTTTTCATGGGCCTTAAAACAAAAAAAAATTTTTGGATATCGCAAGGATCATCGAAGATAATTAATACAAGTGCAGCAAAATACAAGCTAATTAATACGACATTGAAGTACATGTTATAAAATTGAAATTTTCTTTATAAATCTATTGTCATAATAAACCATTGAAATCTTTTGTATTTGTTTCATTTCAGTTGTAAATTCCTTAATTTAATTAAATATAACGATAACGTTCATTTAATATAAGGCGCTATGAAATTCGTCTGGTCAGCTAGTATGTAATAAGTGGAGAATAAATCTATGTGATCGATCCTAATAACTAATTTATTTCAGGTTAGGGATAAGCTTAATAGAGCTTAGTTGTCTGTTAATTATTGGAAAATATCACGTTGCTTAGAATTTATGATAAATTAATAATAACTGCCCAACGTTTAGTTAACTGTTTATATAGGGAGCGCTATTTTTCTTTAATAAGAAGAATGCCCCCCTCATTTTATTGCGGGGAGAGGACCCATTTACGTTTAACTCGTGACAATAAAGTTCATATGAGCGTTTCTGTAACAAAAATAGTGATCCGAGCGGAGTAAAGAGAGGTAGTACATAGCGGCTTTTTCCGCTCGAATTGGAGCGCCCGCCTGGGGAAGTAATCTCCAACTTACAGAACAAAAAAACTTACAGAAGTCCACAGTAAAATAACACTACCTTTTGGTGGTGTTGTGATTCTGTCGGTGCGTAAGTGTTTCCGCAAAGGGGGCACACGCCACAACCACAAACGCTGCCACGAGAAGCTAGAAGCGGCTACTAAAGTGGCTGAAGCGCGCGAGAGCGGCCGACTAAGGTAAGGGAGAGAGGGGTGGGGAATCGCGCGAGTGACGTGTGGCGGCGTTTTGTATCGGCGCATTATGTGGCCGGTGCGGGCCACAAAAAACGAGCAACGACGATTTGTAGCGTGTGGCGGCTACCGGCGTACCGTGTGTGGCGAGTCCATATAAAATGTATGAAAACTACAAGAGATATGCCGGTGGCGGAGTTTTGTGGTTGCGGTCGGTGGCCTGTGTGCGGCGACACTAAGGTTCCAGGGCTCCACGGGGTAGGGGATTGGGTCAGGGTAGGCAACGGCGCGTGTGATACTTCTGTATGGCAAGTATCTAAAGGCTGTGGTGCCGCTTGCCATCAGGCGAACCCCATGCTTGTTTGCCACCCTTTAAACACAAAAAGCGAGGTGAATGAGTTACTTACGAAAAAGATTTTTCTATTCGAGGCTGACTTAGACTTACTCCATGCTGGGCGAATGTTCAGAAATAAGAAGAACACAACGAAGACGGAGACTTAGGCCCGTATTATAGAAAGATTCTCAGTAATTAATCTAGTCTTGAGCATAGAAAGAAAGGGATGTCGAAAGGGATATAGCATATAGAGATATCCCTTTCTAACTGTACTCAAGTAAAGATCAACACTTTGTTGTCATTCAGTAATACGGGCCTTAGAGATCTTTATCTTGCATATCCTATTTCGGGATCCAGGTTAAGATAGATTATTATTTACCTTATTTCATTTTAAGCATTAAAATGCTTGATGCTTCAAAAGAAAATGTAATTTAAGATATCCACTCAGCCCAGGTACAAATTCTGTCTTTAAACGAGTGGTTTGTTTAGTAAAATATTCTTTCGAGATATTGTTGATGAACGAACACAAATGAACAGCATACTGAAATAATACTTTCTTTTGCGTTATCCATGAAGTTTTATTTGGGAATTCTGAATTCTGAAAAAAGAACCAAAAAAGGGATCATAAATGAAAGTTTTGTTTTTAATATAAATCATTGTTTTTATTTATTTTATATATAAAATTAATACGATATCAGATCGTTATAGGACCACGGAGAGTTATTGACAGCTACAACAGTTCGGTCGACTTCGATAATAATCATTTATCTATAAACCATAGGTTCTTTTAAACTCTATAATATAGAATCAACACAAATTGAAACATGTACAGTTCTTTCAATATATCAATACAAAATGGCACTACCTATAGAACAATAATTTCAGAAGCACAATGTTTGATTTCAGTCAACAACATGCACATAATACATATCTTCGTTCATGGTTTCATAGTTTTTTTACAATGTCATGAATCAGTCATCTCATATAGAAGTTATTTTCTAATACATATATTATGATAAAGGAAGAAAACAGCACTAGCCGAGTTTCTTGCTGGTATTTCTAAGTAGAAGGTCCCCCTACATATCTACGCCGTAGATTTAACCAACAGACGGTGTAGCTTTTAGACATTGTCAAGTTCTAGTAACAGACTAAACTGAATAAACAATTTTGAGCTTGAATGATTTAGGGAGCTTTAAGGTTGGTGCATATAGGTATTATAACAAATTGGAAACGTATTGCCTAATAGCTCGTCGTTCGCCCGCCCCCCAAATACTTTAGGGCCTAGCCGCTTAGTGGCTTACATTTATTAGCGTTTATCGTGAATTAAAATCTATAGGATTGTCATTATTGAACGACATATAACGTGATCAAAATGAACGTGTAACGAACTGTCAAGTATGTTTTCTTTATTTAGTACAACATGACATTAACGTAATACATAACGAATTCGATACGAACGAAGCGTTAGCAGCTTGGCTAATGAATGCATCTGTGGCCAGGCAACGCTACGCTTACGGCTAGTCGACGCTCAGATTACGTCTATGCATCGCCCATCTACCGACTTTTTATTAATTAATAGGAGAGACGTTAGCTGAGGGATGGATAGACAAAAGCAGCTGGACGGAGAGATGAAAGGGGTGGCTGGTGTAAATAAATAAATAAATAAATAAATAAAATAAATAAATATTTCCAACACTCACGGTGCGTTGTATAGATGTTCTAAATCGTTGAGACTGAGATCAGTAATCGTGTTACGATGTTGTTGAGAATGCATTATAGAACAACATAGTTATAAATAAATAACAAATATTTCCCACACTCAGCCTAACTAAGGTACAAATGCTTGTAATCATCATACTAACATTTTCCCCCACCGGGATTCGAACCCGGGACCTCGAAGTAGGCGACGCCATAAAACCACTCGGCACGGAGGAGTTCATAATACAAATACCGTGTGGCTCGAGTTGAGGTGATCCTGGTCCTGTTTTGTTTTGATGTATGTTCATTTGATGTGATTTTTAAAACAAGGTGTTAATTTGTGTGTGTTAACCTTTTCTTTATTTATTAAAACATATATTTTTATAAGCTAAAATACTTATTCAATATACTGACTGATACAATGATGTGTAAATCAAAGTACTCGTGTATAAACATGACTATAATTAGACAAATTATAAGGTTTTTGTAAAACACTTGTTTCATTCCTTCTTTCTGCAGCTTCTAAAATTATTTTCTATACAGTTTACTATAGAATATTTACATACTATATCTTAATATACTTACACAAATAAATTTACAACAAAAGCCTTACTTAACAGTAACTATACATCTTTGGTTTCCTTTAAATCTATTTTATATTTACATTCACACAACCGCGTTCATTAGCCCAAATTATTTTTCAACTAAATTGAACCTAACTGTCGACAAACTAGAGCGCCATTATATGAGCCTTTATGGGTGAATTTTAACTTTGAAATTATATATTACAAGATATTAATGAACGCCATTTTAATTATATGTAAATATTAACAGTCTTTTGAGCAAAAATTAGAGATACTTACTAAAAGTTATATAAAGTATAAAAAACTTAGACATTATTCTAAATTATAAGCAATACCACCTTTCAATGCAAAAACACCACTAACGCATATATTCACGATTTTACAGAAGTTGTTGGAATATTATCAATTCGATGCGTTTAAAAGCTTTGACAATAGCTGACAGACTTATCATTACAAAAATTTCGTCTTTGAAATATTTCACAAATAACATCGTAGCTGGAGTAGTGTAGGTGGTTAAAGATAATCATGGTTATGTATCAATGCAGAAGCTAAAAATATAGGACTCAAGTTATTTTTTCAAACACAGCTCTCAGGGCCTGGCAAATTCTCCGCTAAAACGTGTTCTCTTCTTCTAGTGTTTCCCTTACCTTTGGTCCTATGTAATGTAGAAGTTGCGATGCTACCAGAACTTAGAGTAGGCCCGCTCATAGTTAAAGTTTGACTACCAAAAGGGGAACCGACATTCCCATTCGGACATACAAAGTTTGGACTCCCCAATGTTGGACTATTAGTGACTACGAAGTTAGGCCTAAAGTTATTTCCTAAGGGTAGATTTTGGTTGATTACATCCTCCTGTCTACTGCTAGGCGCCATATCACTTCCTGGCGTGAGCTGTCCAACAGATGCATTAGTTAATATCAGTATCAAAAATATTAAAAACAATATTTTATGTATTTTGATAATTTCATACCTGCTGTGGTCGCCCAGTAGTATCCAACAGAGCTAAGTCCTCTGCTGAAAACACAGCTCCAGTTTTGCTCCAATCACCTGAACACAGAAAAAATACTGTTGAAGCATTAACGAATAAAATACATGCTATTTCTTCCATTTTTCGATTTTTTATTAGCATACCTCTAACTTCTTTTATACTAGGCCATTCGTCTGCTTCTTCAAGAGGATCTTGTGTAAGTTGGTTTTCTCCATCTAACAAAAAAATAAATAAAAAATAAGCTTTAACTAACGAGTAAACCTTATTAAATATTTTTTTGTTTGTGGTTCTAAAAGTTGGTGATGTAAAACAGATAAATTGTTAAAATTTTGTATCGATAGCGGAAAGAAATTCCGTAAATATTTTTATTTATGATTGAGAAAAGCGACGGAGCAGCCACATTTCCGAACTTGTCTTAGAGTTCGTACAGTGTGTGTGCAAGCTGTTTCTACTCACAGTGACTGATCTCAACTTTAAAACGTTAAAATAATGACCTCGAAATCGGCTGAATAAGTCGTTTATTATCGTAGGCAAACTATACCGGCTGAAACTTCACCATTACTGAAGATTTTGAACGATTCCAATGAGTTGTAGTATGGATTGTACGTTTCCTAACTCACGTGGTTATAATATGCATCCAAATTGAATAAAGATATTCGACTTTGAATAATATCGTCTTTATTATTAGGCTGTTTACTTTCTTTTTGTGAGAGTGGGATAACTATTAGATATTAGTACCTGGAGCATTTAATATATCAGGCTGCGGGTCTGGAGTCTTCAGATCCGGCGAAGGTTTGATAGTGTACGCAACGACATACCGCCGCCCACCATCACTGAGCTCCAACATGTCTCCTGAGAAATTTCATGTTGTAATACTAATACTAATAATAGAGAGAGATAATAGAGTCCATAGAAAAAAAAATAAAAATTATTTTAAAGGTTTCAAACTTACAACTTGAACAGATAAAATTAATTTTTACATTTGCTTTTGAAGTAATTTATTGTAGCAATATGCTCAAATACAAGGTACTTACCTGGAGGGTGCTTGTGTGGGGGTTGTGCACGACGCTTACGAGCACAGAATGCCATGAAAGTTATTCCACCCCCGGCCAGCAGGACGCCCAGTGCTGCTGCTACCACTACGCCAAGAGTCACGCCCCCGATCGCGCTTTTGCCATCTGCGATATGAAAGAAACCCTTAAACAACTCCAGTTGTTGTAGATAACAGAAATATTATTTCTGTTCGAGTGAACGGTTTGTTAAAAGAAGGAAAAGTTTTTTGATTGTTTATATGCTTAATTTTAAGTTAATGTTAGCGTTTGTTCGAATAGAAAAGTGACCACCACTTTTCTAAGTCCCTTTTTTAAATCCAGATTCCCCATCATGTCATAAAAACAACTTTTTATTTCATAAAACTACCCGGTAATTGCATAAAACTTAAGACCTCATGACTGTACTTTACAGCTGTTAGGAATTCGGGACAAACTCAGAATTTAAAACTGATGTGGGACAAATAAAGAGTTTTGGAACAAAATACTGGGACGAACGACAAATAAATTAGTAATTATTTTTGTACGTCTTTTTTCTTTCGCAATATGTAAATGAAAACTAAAATACATCTTAGACGGGACATATTCAACTAGGTATTTATAGTGGCACATTGTTATCTAATAAAATTAACTTATATTTTTCTTCGGAATAACAAAACAAAAGAATGCCAAAAAGCTTTTGTTATTAAGAGTTTTCTTCAGGAATTTTCGGAAGGTTTGAATTATTTTTCAATGTATTCTAATTCTGGTAGGTATGTGTTAAATCATACTTTTTTCTAAAAGATATTTAATTAGTCCTGATCTGATACTGAACAACGAATATTAATGAAACAAGAGTTCCATGAAAAAACTCATCAATTATAAAATAAAATCCGTATTGTCACAAAACCACTTCAATTATGTTTTCAATTTTATTATCTTTTTATATTTGATCGAAAATCATGTGGGTTTGTTTGTAAAAGAAAAACAAACATGAAAGGATGTTTGTATTATAAAAACACAAGTATCATTTTATTCAGACATTTTTAAGAGCGATCAGTGGGGCGTGTAGATAACATTCTATTGTATCCAAATAAAATAGAATGTGATCGACTTATCAAAATAGGTACCTATCTGGGGAAAAAATTGAAGGGACGTTTTCGTTATCGCGTATACCTATTGGAAAATAATTCCTATTGGAAATAAAAATGTAACTGAATATGATTATTAAATAGATTCTGTTCTCATTATTCTAAACAACATTTAACTTTTTTGTAAAAATCAAATAACTAATGATAGTAGGTATCACTGAATAAGTTAAATATATAATATATATTAGTACAAGTTAACATATTTACGTTATAAGATAAGACTTAGACAAAAACTAATTTCTACTCTCGCTAGTTATATCGTGGTATGATTACTAGTAGCACATGTAAACGATCTTGAGTGATCCTTAAAAAAACAATGACATTTCGAGCTTGACTAATATTGTGAACGAAAAGGTTTTAGTTAAGCTGCGTAAGGATAGCGTCGCGCGAGTTGATACGCCGGTGAGCCACCGTATTTGGTCGCACATCCAAGGAATTGCGCACGTTAGGTTACGCTGTATTTGACACAATTTACAAAACTTGCATTCGCCCTATCATTTTACGCGAGTATTTGCTTCGTCCACGCACCTCCGTCGCGTCTTAAACCCATACAAATGCTGAAATATCGATTTGCATCGCGATCTTAAATTAGATTCCATCGCGAAATACACGAAGGAGGCCTTGAGACGTTACTGCGATAAAGCCGCGCACCACTCGAACCCCGTAGTAGTTAAAGCCGCCAGTTATCACACGTCCGCCCTGCCGTCCTTCACTCGTAGATCCCTACGATTCCGTCAGCCTCAGCACGTCTTAGAATACCCCGACGACGAAATCACCCGCGCCAACGCGCCTCCGACTCCTCCCACACAGGCCACAAACACCAACATTACACAGCTAGCAAACTTGCACACTAGCTTAGTATTAGAAAGACACCGCACCCGTAGGATAAGAGTGCGATGACTCGATCTACACACGACAACGGCTAACTAAAGCCGAGGTCCGAGTCTCAGAGACGCCCTCTAGATGAGCCGACGCCCTCAGGTTCGAGTGGTCTAGAGGCTCCAGAGGGAGAGGAGACCCCCCCCCCCGTGGAGAGATGCCATCCGCTTGGAATACCACTAGAGGCACTCGCCAATTCTCGGCTTTAGTTCCCCTTAGGATCTCACCGTCCCCAGTGACGCTGTAAAGGTCATCTGCGACCAACAGCATACACACTCCAAAAAAAAAGAAAAGCTGTATTGGAACAGCAAAATCGCAATAGTGAATAAAAATGACTGACGCGGCTCGAGTAGCGTTGTGGATCGCTCAGCCTCGTGTTCAGGTTCGCGGCGGTCTGTACAGGAGCTGTACGTGGACAGGGTGTCCCGAATAAGCGTAGCAAAGGAACGCGCTATCCGTACGCAGTCTATTACGTTAGGTGTAGGCCACACTACTAAAAGTCTCGCTTAACGCTTAACTTACAGTTCAGCAACAAGCTGGCAAAATGTGACACCAAACAACATAATCTCGTGGATGATTTTCCCAGATAAACTTCCCCCCGCCTTTACATCCCCTTATAAGATGATTTCGGGGATAGAACTATTCCATGTCCTTTCCCAGGACTCAAACTATATCTATACGAAATTTCAGCTAAATGACAGACAGACACAATTTCATATTATTTATGATATAAGTATTCATTACTTAGGTTTAGTTCTTAAGCTTCACCCTTAGCCCCAAATAGAATTCGGTTTTTAGATTACTTTCATTCTATGAAACCTTACTTAATAAAAAACAAGGAACAATTATGTTTTTGTAAAAATACGACTGTTTCAGACAAAGCCACAGTACCGACGCGATGTAAAATAATTTTCTTTAAATTTATAAATCCAGCGAGACTCGCAACAATTTTTTTACCTCAAATAAACAGATTGGGGCGATATTCGAGAGATCACAAAACAAAGATTATTAGAGAATTTTTTTTTTGTGATTCCAATTAGGTTGAATTAAAATGAAAAATTGTACTACATAATATTCCAATCAAATATGGTCTCCCAATAATTATTATTTGGACTCATTTAATCGGTAGACTTCGGCTTCTAAATTTTTCAGTAGCTAAATGGGAGAATAATTTCGGGCATCCATAAATTAAGTAGATTTTTTGCCGAGTCACTAATTTGTCTTCAATTAGTAGAGAAATTCTTTTCATATCAGAGGTTCATTAATACAGTATGATAGATGTTTCCATGATGTGTTTTGTTTAATCAATAACGGTGAAATTGAAACTGAATGTGTTTACAGTCAATAAATTGAAGGTCCTTTGTTTTTCTTACTACACTGGACAGCAAATGGCAAACAATGGCAAATCTAACACACATCTTCATAGTTCTGTGTACTTTTTGACATAGGGGAAAGCTGCGAACGACTTTTGGCTGCTCTTTGTCTAAATCTATTCAAGTGTAATTTTGCGTCTTATAAATTTGTTTGATAAATAAAATTAACTTACCGGTTCTTCTCGCTGCATCATTAAAGGCAATGTTTTCCAGTAAAGTTTTGTCTGATTCTCCTTTTAAGTTTCTGGCGTAGATAAGCAAGTTGAATATGACGGTGGTGTCGCTCACTGAAGCCATCTGGGCGAGGTCCAATTTGAAAGTTACTACTCCATCTGTTCCGGCAATTTTTTTTCTTAAGTTAATGTAAATGTTGATGCAGTAACTAGGTAGTGTATTTTATTCTTTTTAGGCTAAGTTTACTAAGGTAAGGTAAAAAAACGTTTTATGCCAACACTTTCACTTTAAAATGTTTAAGTCATAGGGAAGTATTGTGAGGATATTAATAGGCTGATGATAAAATACATTATTTGACAATATTGTTGTTACGATATCGTGTACAAATAAAGTGTTCACTATTCTTTTTTTAATAGTTAAGGTCTTACATTATTTTCATATCTGATTTCGTATTATTGAAACAAATTCGGAGCAATATTTGAAGCATTAAAGTTTACTGTCTACACTAGGCTATTTATTTGCTAAAGACCTCTCCATATTAATCGCCGAACATAATATTTAAAAGATTAATTTGATATCAAAAGTGGACCACTTACCAGTGTCGTTTGCGTGGGCAGTGAACTTGGTCTTCCCCGTTGTAGGGTCTAGGGCTTCGAGCACGAACGTTTGAGGTAATCCACCGTCGTAGCCAGCCACGCAGCGAACCAGAAGCCAGTTAGCGATCTCCGTACTGTTGTTTCCAGTGTGTAAGGAGCAATTGCGAGGTGCTGTGGGCCTTGCTGTGTAGAACAATACTTTTAAAATCTAATGAATCTTTAACTCGTTTTTCATATTACTTTTATGTAAGTTAAAAAAGAGTTCACCAGTGACTCCTGGATTGAGACGTAAAGATAAACAAAATTTACCAATTGCAACAATGAAGTTGGTTAAATGAAAGTAGTAGCTCTATCAACGATGCGGTGGGTATACACACATAGTATAAATGTACGTATTTACATTACATTGCTATTGAAAACTATTGACTAAAGAACATATCCTAAGGTACAATGTTACAACAAAAGTTATGTTATTTTAATTCATCAGTATAGGGTACATAAAACATGAGACCTTGGCGTCACTAACCAAGTCTAGCGTGCTAGCCTACGAAGGCCGTGGAATGATAAAAATATAGACGGTAAAACGTTTGCAGTTGTAGTTTGTAGTAGATAGATTGAACGATAATATTACTTTGTTAGATATTATTTAAAGTAGTGTAGATATTATGAGATTAAATAAGAATTTGTATTATTTGTTTTGAAAGATCGAAGACCTTATAATAAAAATACATACATATACTTTTACTAACATGGCAATGTAAAAGTTGATGTATTCACTAATAGATCTATCCAAAATAACGGTGAAAGTATAATTGTACTTTCACTTACAGTTTGTGATTTAAAAATAGAACAGCCAACAGAAGTACTGTCGAAAATGAGAGAATATTATGCACTTTTAACGTGCCTTTAGTTTCATGGTAATGAATAGTGCCGTGTGCGTGAGTGAGAATTAGAATTAAGTGCAAAGCTAAACTCACGAATTTCGCCTTGACTTATGCGCGGCGGGCGACAATTTAACACGTTATATGTTATAAATAACAAACTGCTTGGATATTAAACGTTGCGGGTTGGGGCGTATATCGTTGCACCTCGCAACATCAAGCTCATATTTCCACTTGCAAACTCTAGGAGTTAGTTCTGGAATGGAAGCGTCGATTTGCCTTTAATTGCTTCTCACTACGAAGCTATATTCTGTGCTTGGTAGAAAATACAATATGGATATATTATTTATAAACTGAGCAATAGCTACTTAATGGAAAATTATATCGGATATTATCACGTTTTCATGTGACGTAAGCATTAAAACAACACCTGTTAAGGTATAAAAAGGTAAAAGATCCAACAATTATGCAATGAAACGCGATTGGAGTTAGCAAAGCACAGAAGATTTTTTTTAACTGCCGTTCAAAGGAAACGGCTTTTTTCCATGAGAGCTTCACCACAATCAGTCAAGTCCAGTGAGAGTTTTAAAACGTCTAGTTCAAGGATTTCTTTGCTTTTCCAGTGTCTCTACATCTGACTTCAGGAGTTATGAGATTTGGTGTGTGTACGACAGAAGCCGCAAGCTGAAATTATAAAACGTACGCCGATCCACTCGGCGCGTTGTTGATTCAAATGTGTACGTGCGAACGTGTGTGTGTTATGCCTTCAAAGCTCAGTTCAAAAGCTATCTGCACTTGGATTTCTGAGCTATTGTGTGTTCGATCCAAAATAGAATCATGAAAGTTCGCTCGCTACTTCACAATGGATGGCTTAAAATGGACTAGTAGCATTCAAATATTTTTGAATTGTAATTTGGAAATGTGATTGATTTTCCAAAAGCTTCCTGATGCGCGAGTAAGTATTTAAGAATCAAATTTAATTTTGATAAAGGTAAATTGGTACATTGATCGTGATGAAAACTTACAATATTTATGGATAGAAAATAAGATTTATTTGTTTCCGTAGTAACGATGATTGGATTCGAATCCCTTAGGGAGTGAATTCGTTTCTCAGTCAGGGTAACGTAGGAAATCAGTTATTTTGTATTACTTCGGGTGATATGAGTTTTATCGGTTTTATGTAATTTCATATTTGTGCCGTCTTTAGCAACTTACCTTGAAGTAGTTTATGAGTTTACAATGTGCAAAAGGGTTCGATAGTGAATACATTAATCTGTTTGTATGGGAATAAATAATCTTCGATATTCTTATAGATCAGAAATCGTATGAATTAAAAAAGGAATTATTCTTAGAAACTATAGTTATTTCGCTTCAAATTGCATAATATTTACCTAGCTTCTACACAATGTACATTACTTCGGAGCTTACCACAATTATTATAGCCGCAATATTTGTGAGCTGTGTTCTATGAAAAATGAAGATTCAAATATAGAGACTTCACTACTAGTATGTTTGAATGATATTTTTTTAATTATATGAAAAAAGTATAAATAAAAATAACTACTCTTAATAAGAATCGAACTTCCATTGTTTGGGTTGACGCCTAGCGACCAGTTTCAATAACTAAGCTTTATTATTTAGATTATAATAACAACTGTGGCTAGAAAATGGAACCAGATTGTCTTTACTCGTAACTTTTACTGGAGATTGATTATTCAAAGTGGCTGTTTGCGAACACGTACATTTGTTGTTCGTTCGTTCATCTTTAGTATATGGAATTCCATTTCAAATTGTTATTAAAAAATCAAACCTTATCAACACCTTATTGGTGGTTCAGTGGTAAAAAGTTAGCCTGCTACGCGGGCAGCCCGGTTTGTTTCATAGCCGAGAATGAACTTTTTTTATTTATGATTTTTAAAGTTTCACTTACATCGTGATATCATAAAACTATGCCATTTTTTTCCAATCTTGTTTTATAGCGGCAATGTCTGATCTGTCCGTGAATTTTTTTTTCTACAGTCCAACACACACCCATTAGCTAGGAAGAATACTAGGGTAACGGATAGAATATATTATAATGCTACATAATATAGTATTTTATGTAGAAATATACAATCACGTCTATGGCTTAGGTTTAAATGCTCGTATTCATCATACTAACATTTGTCCCACCGGGATTTGAACCCGGGCTTTCACGAGCAGGCGACGGAGGTCATCAAATTTGCACTGAAGAAGTAATTATGATACTCACCAGCTGGGACAACTTGGAACACGCACGGCTCGAGTTGCCTACCCACAGAGTTTGTGCCGCGGCAGCTCAGCGTGCCGTAGTCGCGCTCACTCTGCGGTTTGTAATTCAATTCACTCGTGCTACCGTTGGCCGTGCCTAGGGGAACGATAAACCTATTATGTACTCGCGTATAAAGCGTTTTTCCGTTTTTTAGGTATGCTGACGTTTTCAGGAATACCAATGGCATTTTTTGGTTATACATGAACGGTAAATGAATTTAACGGGCAAGTTTGTCATGAACACTAAACATTATTATTAATGCTGAATCAAGATGATGATATTGAAAAGGTACGCTTGCCCTACAATATAAGTTTTTTATAAGTCATAAAAGGTTGACAATACCGGTATTAGGTAATTACTCCCTTGAACGCAACCCGGACTATAAAGAACCTTGGTTTTCTTTCAAAATTTTCCTTCTTCTACCAAATGCAGTCTTTACTGTACAGAAGTTTGGTATTAATCAATTCAGATATGTGTACTTCTTGAAAGCTGATAGCTCAAGTCCATATTTGAAAATCTACTCTAATTTCACTTACCAAACTTGGCCGGGGACACATCGAGGCTCTCTCCACTATTGTTGAACTGCCAGAAAAACGTAACGTCCGGCGGGTTAGCGGTCACAGAGCATCGCACGCGCAGCACCTCCTCTATCTGCGCGCCGAGGACTTGGGTCGACGACTGTGAGCAGACTGGTGCATCTGAACATAAAGGTAGCATGTGATTCTAATTGTTCATGGGAATTAATGTACTGCTCAATTTCTCAAGCGTCATAAATATTCTTCTATAACTGAAGATTATGAGTTTGCGGCGTTAGCTTTCGGGGCGTTAGGGTCGTGGTCGGCTGACATGAATCAGTTTATACGTCGAATCGACTGATTCTCTCTTCGGGTGATCAGAGGGCTGGCAGTTATTTCGCGCAGAGAATCAGTTTCGCCATTCAGCGAGGTAATGCTGCCAGTGTTCTGGGTACCATGCCCCAAATTGCAATTTTGGATGACATATTCTTCTCGTGAATATGTATATAAATATTTTAGGGTTAATTTTTAATGTTAAGTTTTTATTTTGATATTGTTATGACGTGGATGCATAAAAATTTACGAAATTATGAATAATTTTTAGAGAAGAGAATAATACCAAATAGAAAAAAGAGAAAGTATGAAATACAATTGAAGGAGTAAACAAGAAGAAGAACAGTAAACGATATAAACTTAGCACAAAAAAGAAACACTCGCAATCCCAATATTTCCTTAATTTATAAGCCCCACACTGAATTAAACGAATCTAACGAAGTTGATTCTGCGTCTCAGTGTTTCGAATCTCAACAAAGGGAAGAATGCAGTAATTAACACAAAGAGCCGAAAGAGACCCGAATTCAGTTCGTTAAATCATAACAGAAGTTAGACGATATATAAATTTTATCGTCCAACTGTTCCCCTTTGCGTCGCAGCCGGGAGCCGTGATTCATTTAGGTATCTACTTATAAAACTGCGCTCCAGCTGCCTTAGATTTTCATTAAACCCTCAAATATTTGCTCGCGTTAAGCACCCATTCCAAGGAGGGATTGCTGCGGCAAGAATATGAAAATATGTATGTTGATTGATGTAAGCGATCGTGTGCCGCATGCGGGTAACAACATTCTTTACCTTAGATTTGTAGCTGAGGAAGGGATCAATAAGGCGAACAAACTGTCGCTAGCGAATGGTACAAAGTGAAACAAACGAGTTGAGGTAACAAATAGGGAGGGGACAACGTGTACATTTGTCGCCGTTCGGTCGCGGCAACTCACTGGCGTAAATCCAGCCTCTTTCTCAATGATTGATGCCTTCCCGGTGACTTCGAAGACTTGCCGAAATTCACCCTCCTCGACGCTGCTCTTGATGTATTGATCAATGTTACTAGTCAATTAATCCCAAGGATAATATAGTTTATGTTCGGATATTGATTGATGTTCTATCCGTTACGAAGGAGTTTTGACTCATGGTGTTGAAAGTTAAAGTGTTATTTGTCACGGTATATCCGATCGCTGAAATATTGGGTGTAAAAATGTATACAAATTTAAATAACGAAATTGAGTTCAGAGTTACGAATTTATACGTTAATAAAACTTTGCGTAACATAAATATTTTCAGAATGCTCTTGTTTGTAACACGCGAGTAAAATTAGTTTTTGTTCGTAAGTGATATTGGATTTAAAAAGTGTTGAATTAAGTTTATATATATATATATATGTATAAAAGGGTATTATTTACATTATATTGTTTTATCTTTTCTTTTCTAATATTCATGCTTTAATATTGTTTATTTAATATTGATGCATACATTTTATTTATTTATTTGATCACCAACAAAGTTACGCTTAGACATTTCTTATTTACACATTTATAGTACCTACGGCACTTTATTAGTGGAACTTTAATTATAGGCGATTACGACATGCAATTTATACTTAACTAGCAATTAAATCTTATACAATTTTGATAATTACATTAATTTCAATACAAAACAATTATGAATAAAAATAAAATTTTAAATTGTCAATAATTGAACAACAGCAATTAAATAAATTTATGATAAATAAATTAATGACTATAAATTAATGAAAAATAAATAAATGAAAAATAAATAAATGAGAAATAAATAAATGAAAAAACTATGTTTGCACAACTAAACATAAAGATTTTATTCTCTTCAGTGTATCCGCGAAAATGTCCATATCGGTCGACTTTGACAGTGAATTGTACTGAGAGAGCGTTCTATTTATAGGAGAAAATAAGCCTAGGTTCGTTCTGGAGCTTCTCGTTACATACAAATTATATCTTGACCCTCTTGGCAGTTTTAAGGGTATATTAAGATATACTCTTGAGAGCAAATCGGGACAGTCCATAATACCATTAATGAGCTTATGATATATAAATATATCGGCAATCGCTTAATGAGTCCATTTTAAAGTATCGTAGCCTATCTTCGTAGTGTGGAAGCTTTTTTGCAAGATTGAGGTTGTAAGAAACAACAAGGTTGAGGTTGTTTTTCACAACTTATTGTTTAAATGAGTGTCTCGAAATTTACCGCAATGATTCAAATAATACAAATATTAAGATAATGTCGCCATCTAGTACCTATAAAGAATTTTATTAATAAAAACAAGGAAACCTTAATTAATAAATACACATTTTACTGTGGAAATTTTATTTTTTTTATTTTAACTATCTTATATATAAAATTCCCGTGTCACAATGATAGTTACCATACTCCTCCGAAACGGCTTGACCGATTTTTATGAAACTTTATATGCATATTCACTAGGTCTGAGAATCGGCTCCTATCTATTTTTCATACTCCTAAGTGATAAGGGTTGTCCACCCCTATTTTTTTTTCAGATTTTGGTTTTTTTTAATTTATTATGTGACATACTTCATACAGACAAAATACATGCAGCTCTAAATTTTCACCCTTCTACGACCCATATATTTATGACGATACGAAGTTAGCTGGATCAGCTAGTAATTTATAGTAATCTTATCAAATACGAACAATAATAGTGACTGCCTATTATTAATAAAGATTGCAATATAAGTAATATTACAAAACTTCAATAGTCAACTTCACGCTGTTAGTATCAATAATGATAATTTTAGCTTTGTTTTTAAGAGAAACATTGAAATGAATTAAAATGAAGAGCTCATTAAAACCAGCAACAACAATGGGAAGCTTAAAGAAAATTTCAAGGGGCCTATTGTTATGCGAAGTCAAGATAACTTTATCACCTATAACTCCTATGCCTCAACTTTTATAAGGTCTGCTATTCAACGGCCTCGTGATTTATTGCCTGGTTCAGTATAGAATGAGAATCGTTCAATACATCTGGCTGTCTTACCCCGTTGACTATAACAAATCTTTGTAAAGATCTCTTCAGGAATGATTGATGTAGAATACGGATTGGCAAAAAGGACTCGACGAGATGAAATTAAATTTATTAGCGCTTTGTTGATGATAGGGGACAAAAGGGACCCCAATTCGGATTGGCGAAGTAATCTGCGCAACAAATTTACTTACTGAGGTGTTTTATTTTTATCCTTTATCATCTTTCCGGTTATTGTTGGAAGCTGGTTTGGTAAGTCGTAATTATTTTATTGAATGTTTTCGAGACAGTGTAGGTACGTTAGATATTGCCTTTATTGCCCGTAGTAGAGTGAGATTAGTCCTGTTGACTGGGCCATGAAACTTTGAAATTATTTTTGTTTGAACGTTTTTTGCACTGTTGTGAACTAAGTGCACATCTCAGGTATTAATCTGCATTGAATCAATAGTCCAGATCACGTATATTAGAAACTAGCGGCCGCCGGCGACTTCGTCCTCGTTAACTTTAGTTTTTTGATAATCCCTCAGGATCCTAACGCTTTTCCGAGATAATTATCCTATGTCGCCTTCCAAGTTAGAAGCTCTTTGTGTGTAAAATTTAATGCAAATTCCTTCACCCCTTTATGCGTGATTGACTAACAAACATATAAACTTCCACATTTTCAATATTAGTAGGCTGTATAAAAATATCACCCAATGATCATTGACGAGCCTTCACATTCAGTTGAATTTAGAAAAACAAATTATATTTATTGATCGTAACGACATGATTTGCAGTAAAAAGGTGCTTTCTAAAGGAGAGCGTAATATTTACCACTGTTCTGCGAGGTAAGACGTCACTATCCAACACTATTCAGATAATATTCATGATGTCTGTCACTAAGTGCAGTATGTTTTGAACTATAAGAGACTTAAATTAACTGTATGTGGAATATTATCAATGCATTGGATGCAAACGATGTTTTTAATAATTGTTTGTATCCAACACAGAGGAACGAAAACAACGAGGAGCTCTATGGTGCGGGTGGTTAGCGCGTTCGGCTGCGATCGTTGAATTTAAGCAACTTTCGCAGTGGTCGGTCATGGGATGGGGGACCAAAAATCTTCACGTTAAGCCATTGGTCCCGGCTGGATCTGAAGTCGTTAGCACCCGCCAATCCACACTGGGTTCGCTTAGTGGGTCAGGGCCCAATCTCCCTATTCCATCCATAGGGAAGGCCTGTGCCCCAGCAGTGGGTACATTAATAGAATGATGATGATGATCCAACAAATTGAAAATATTGCATATATACCAAAATCATCCGATACAGTGAAATAAATGCACGTATTTTTGAAATCCATTCTTTTCCCATTTGCTGTGATAACGTGTTTCGAGTGGTCAAGAGTCATTCGTCTATTGTTTTCAAAAATTAGGCCATTACTTCGTCACAATGCCAGTTAGTTGTTTTAAAGCCATAATTCACTGCTATTCGATTATTAAATTGGACTGAGATATAATTTACTTCATCAAATTACACAAACAATTAAAGAAATAGCTGAATTATTAGAGTTAATTAAACAATCTATTGTAATTATTTCCTTCAGTTTGATTACTATTTTAGTACTAATTTTTTGTTTGCTTTCTTCACAATCTAGAATAATGTTATGACGGTCTTCAAAAGGGGGTAAATATTTTCTTTCAGAACCGGCAATGAATGAGTGGTACGTTTAGTGCAGTGTGTCCACTGTCCATTGGCCACCACTTACCATCAAGGGGACTGCCAGCTTGTTTGCCTACATAAACATAAAAAAGTGATACGTACATTGTATACTAAGATGCGTAGTTTCACTTGCCGTCTCCCCCAAAGCGTTGGTTGCTCTGCACGAATATTCGCCGCCGTGATCTCGCGTCACCTTCTGTAGCACAAGTGATTTCGTGCTTACTATCACGCCCGAAACCACGTTGTGTAGCACTTGTTTCTCCTACAGGACAACAAAGAAATTAAAATTAGCATAACAACTTTTTACATCGCACTAAGCTCGATGGTGCAGATATAGCGGGTTATTAAGAAAAGATAAGATACTAACACTTTATTGCATAACATAAAGAACACGAATAAAATACAAAACAAGGCAAAACAATTACAGTTGCACAAAGGGTGGTCTTATCGCTTATCAGCGATTTCTTCCAGTCAACCCAATGAGCTGGAAAAATAAATTAAAAAGCACGATAATAACAATGAGAGAGGTTGTGCAGAATACAAGACAATAGTTACAGGAAAGTATTAATAATTATAATATAGCTTTTTTCTCTTTTTTAGATTACATTCATTCTAATAAAGTAAGATTTAAAAAAGTTTGTAGTCATTACCACCTAGTGTACCTGTGATGGGGAGACACGGGCTTCTGAAATACTGAGTCTGTTAGGGCCTCACTTGTGATAGTAACTTGGTGTAAGTATGAATAAATTATTTTTATACTATAAAATTAAATTATTATAATGGAATAACATTTGAGTATTTTATACTCAGCAGGAATATTCATACAGTAAATATTCGTTCTAACAGCCTTTTTTGGATTCGTTATAATAAAGTATTGATATTACGTCGAAACGTAATTCAACGAGGCTACAGAGACCCTTCAGAATATTTGACTATTCGGACGAGGTCGCATGTTGTAAGTAATAGATATAGCAGCTAAAATTATGTATATATACTCGACTCGGACGAAGCCATTACAGTTGACTGGAGATCAATGGGCGAAATGATTCTGTCTGAACCTATGCATTCGGATGAAACGGACTTTAGGAAAATTATAATAATAGATATCATTCTGTCTGTAGGCATTTTGTGAAGTTCAAAATTAAAAGATCTTTTTGGTGGGAAAGAAATATAATAGGATGAGACATCAAACAATTCGTACATTGTTTACCGAGAGGAGAAAGTGACCGATTACCGATCACCCAAGTTGGGAATACCATTTTCTTTGGAAGTATATCTTTCTTTAATTGAAATTTATATTACAGCTGTTACAGTTACTAAACTTTTGTATGGGAGCTTTATATTAGTTAATTGATTTCACAGGTAAAGGAACTCAATGACTGCTTAGGTAGTAGATAGTTTCATTTAATTCGTGCGGTATCAATAAATCTTCATTATGAGTCATATACACCGTGTCGAGTAGATAGGAAAACAAATTAAAAAATCAGGATATAATAACCTACTTAACTAATTTACCTTTAACTTTTTGTCCCTTTTTTCAAAATTAATTTAAAAATCAAGCAGTATAATGATAAAATACATATTGCAGTCTGCAAAATCATACTGGCCACTTTACGGAACATAAATAATATAAATAAAAATGTTAATAATGTATTTCCTTAGATTTTTCTGCCCGCTCAGCACGTTAAAAATTGACTATCACACACTTATCCAGCTCGCTTAGTAGCAAAATAGATGGAGTAATGAGGTCCTTTCTGCTTCATTTTTAAAATAAGAATAAAGTACTTTCCGGGAAGGTGTAGTATATATTCTCGTCATTCGGTCACTTAAACCTTTAGTTCTGCCAGCATCTGCAGTCATTAACACCCATCAATCAGCACTAGACCCGCGTGGTGAGTAAAATGTCCCATTCTAGGTATTCCAATTATAAGGATGGGTGGCGCCCTTACAATGGACATTATTACGCTGATGATGTATGAATTCAAAAGAGAAAAAATATGGACAGAATAAACAATGATTCCGTGGATGCAATGAGGTCGTCTTAGTGATTATTTTTTAGGTTAAATGTGCAATAAAAACATATGATATTAAATCTAAAGAAAATATAACTAGAAAAAAGTCCACGCGGACCAGGCAGCAGACGGGACTCGAACCCGCACCCTTCGCAATCCGGGCGAATGCACTGACCAATTATGCTACCGCGGCCCTCACGGACCGCGTCGAAATTCTTTCTAGCTATTCTTAAGCTGCAAGGCAGCGCCATCTCTTCGCATTATAGGTAAACCCACAATGTCAAATGAATACTTTTACAAGTATTAAACATTTGAAAGAAGAAATAGCAATTATAGTTATAATTTTTATTATTTTTAAAGCATGTAACTGCTTGATGTTTAAATCTAAAGAAAATATAACTAGAAAAAATTCCACGCGGACCAGGCAGCAGACGGGACTCGAACCCGCACCCTTCGCAATCCGGGCGAATGCACTGACCAATTATGCTACCGCGGCCCTCACAGACCGCGTCGAAATTCTTTCTAGCTATTCTTAAGCTGCAAGGCAGCGCCATCTCTTCGCATTATAGCATATTCTTAACGCTGTTTTTCCATAGGCTTGGAAGCAAGCTCAAATTATCCCATTGCCAAAAAAATCAAATCCTCAATCTGTCGCTGATTTTCGCCCCATTTCCATTCTTCCTTTTCTATCTAAGGCACTTGAGCGCCTTGTTCTTAATCAATTTAATATATTCCTTTCTCGCCACGATCTCTTCAATCCTCTTCAGTCCGGTTTCCGTCCAGGGCATAGTACTACTACTACCTTACTTAAAGTCACAGATGACATACGTCTTGGGATGGACCACGGTTTCCTTACGGTATTAACACTGTTGGACTTTAGCAATGCCTTTAATACTGTCAACTTTGAAATTCTTTTGGCATTGTTACGCTCACTTAACGTATCTCCATCGGCGATTGAGTGGTTTCACAGTTATCTGTATGGGCGCAGGCAACGAGTCCGCCTCGACGAGATGTTTTCTTCTTGGTGTGACACGACTGCTGGCGTTCCACAAGGCGGCGTCTTATCTCCTCTACTCTTCGCTGTATTGATCAATTCTATTTCTAATAATATTTCTTCTTCCTACCACCTATATGCAGATGACCTCCAGATTTATCAACAAGCTCCCGTTGGTCAACTTGGTGATGCAGTGTTGGCCACTAATAGTGACTTGAACATTATTTTGGAATGGAGTAAATCTTTTGGGCTGGACGTTAATCCTTCTAAAACAAACACTATAGTAATTGGAAGTTCCAGGATGATCACTAGAGTTGACTGGCAATCACTCCCCAAAGTCCATCTTGCGGGCACCAATATTCCATTTAGCACCTCAGTGAAAAACTTAGGTTTAACTTTCGACAGCTGCATGAGTTGGGGACCCCAGATGCAAGTGCTCAGTCGTAAACTGTTTGCTTCCGCAGCTTCTTTAAAGAGACTGCGTAATTTCCTACCCACTACCACCAAAATTACCTTAGCTCAGACACTCTTGCTTCCTATTCTTGATTATGCTGACGTCTGCTATCTAGATCTCACGGAGGCCCAGCTTGATAAACTTGAGCGGCTTCAGAATTTCTGTATACGATTCATATTTGGCCTGCGCAAATATGATCATGTTTCTCAATTTCGTTCACAGCTCAAGTGGCTGCCTATTCGCTTTCGCCGGAATACTCATATCCTTATTCTTCTCTATAACGTACTGTTTAATCCTTTGACCCCGCGCTATCTTAAGGAATGTTTTAACTTCCTTCACACCTCTAACACATTGTCCCTAAGGTCATCAGAAAATTTTGCTCTGATTACACCTGTGCACGGAACAACTTTTTATGGCCGCTCATTCGCAGTGCAAGCTGTTCGCCTATGGAATTCGCTTCCAGTTTCCATTAGACGTGCAGAATCTCTGCACAGATTCAAAAACCTTCTAAAATCTCACTATTTGTCCTTATAGCTCTTCTATTCTATTTATTTCCTCTCAAAGAACTAGACTTATATATGGTACATACTTATGTATTTTTTAGTATGTATATATTTAAGTATATATATATATATATATATATATATATATGTATATATATATATATATATATATGTATCTATTTACCTATGTATATATGAGTGTATTTATGTATATCTATGTATTTATATGTGTTTATTTGTTTTATATACTCGGTTTGTACATAGATTTTCTCGCGTATTATTGCAGTTAATTACACCGCCGTCTTTCCAGCTTCTTTCTTGTCCTCTCCATCCCAAGGTTGTCTGGAAGAGATCGCTCTTAGCGATAAGACCGCCCATTTTTACACTTTAAGCAGCCATTATGTATGTTTTATATATTTTTTTTTTTGTGGTGTAAAATAAAGAGTTTTTATTATTATTATTATTATTATTATAGGTAAACCCACAAGCAGTTACATGCTTTAAAAATAATAAAAATTATAACCATATGATATTAAACGAAAAATCAATAAGTAATATAATTAGATTTTATACTAAAAGAAAGATGGGTAACACGATAGACAGATTCGCGATAGAAAGAGAGAACAATACAAGCTTGCGCTCGATAAAGATTAATTAACTCACAAAAGAAGAAAAGGGGAAAAATTACAAGTTCGTACTTTTCCCGTATCATTTTTCAAACAACATAACAAAGAGGATTGTGTTTGGAGAGAATTATTTACTGAATGAAATCAGTGACATTTTTGATTATTTTCATCATATTGATTTTAACCATTGTCACCATGTCCCTTGCCGGGTCTCAACCTATCTATATTCTAAATTTCATCTTAATCGGTTTAGCAGTTAGGTAACAGACAGACATCGCATCTATAATATTGGTATTGATCTTTGCAAATATCTAGAATTACTGGCGTAAAATATATTTGTGATTTTCTTATGTAATAACACAATATTTAACCTTTTTTTAATAACACAAAGCGAAAACGTCACTACTACTAATTACAGAAGTAAGTAGTATATAATGTAGTTAGAAGGGAACTTTATTTTAAAAATACTTAACGATCACTTCTTAATTATATTATAATATTATAATTAGCTAGAATCAAACAGGACAGTTTACAGGAATACTTTGTCAGACTCAAATTAGTTTTTAAAGTCAAAATTTTATGACATCGCCTCAAATATTTGTTTTTAAAAAAAATAGATCTTATTACCAACCAAGCATCGAAAGTTCAGTGTAAGCCTGTCTGCTACGCGGGCGGCCCGGAGTCGATGCCCAGCCGGGGAGGAGGTTTTTTTTATTTAATTCCATTTGCATCGTACTTTCATAAAATCACTCCAATTTTTCAGATAAATAACTAGCGTAAATTTACTTGCGGAAAAGGGAGCACAGTCACGGTGCACAGTGCCGTCACAGAGACTTAGTGAAAGTTAGTAGGCGCTTACGACTGCAGATGCAGTTGCGAACAAAGATGGTGGTGCCTTCTGAAGCAATCAGGAGCTCGAGATAATTCATTTTTGGTTTGGACGCTACCGAAAGACATGGTTGTTTGTTGGATTTTTTTTGCTGCCCAAGACGTTCGGCCCTACATAGAGGGCTCATGTGTGATAGAAGTATTGCGCACAAAGCGCAAGGTTGACCGCTTTCTTTCATTCTGTTGCGCTCGAATTAATCCAAAATTCCCGATTGGGCTCTCCTAAGATAAAATAAGTTACCAATAATTAAGTATCTTGAGCTCCTCATTGCTTCAGAATGCACCTATGCTACCTTTGGCGGATTGTTGAAATTCTTTTTTCTACCCTAGACGTTTGGCTCCACATAGAAGGCTGAGGTATATGGTGGGAGTACTTCACATGGTGCCAGGTTGCCCCCTTGTGAAATTCTGCCGCGCTCGAATAAATCTAAAAATCCCTACTTGGACTCTCCTACTATTATACAAACACCACTCAAATCGATTTGATCAAATTAAAATCGTTCTGACGATGCAGACCTGAAAAGGCTGCGAAACGTCAATAAATAAATAAAGTTTTCGTGCATTAACCCGTAAAAACTAGTTTTATTTAATGAGTGATGTGCGTGAAAACCTAAGAAACAAATAAAATCGTTCACTTTATAGTTACATTATTTGACATGTGTCGCAACTTAAGCTCGTTAAAAAAATCTGTGAAATACATATTAACAATGTGCAAGGAAAGTTTACGACTAGTCATACTTAAATGCTTATTTTTTAAATATATTTAGAAAGAATGTTTCTTTAGGCATAGACCTTTACATGTTTAGTGATATCTGGTTCGGAATATTTAAAACAATTAAATTTAGAATCAAAGATAAGTCAGTTACTATTATTTACAAATTTTGCTGAGTATGATATGCATGAATTGAATAAATACTTATGGAGTTTTAGGGGGAGATGAATAGGAATAAAAAATAAACATTGGCTTCTTTCATTTCATGTCCTTATCTTGTTTTGGACTTTTTGGCGGGATCGGGAAGCGTCACATTAGCAGTTTTGTTTTTCTTGTTAAAAATTGTGTTGTGGCGGATGTTAGTGTCTAATAATGGTGGATTATTAACCACTAAGTGTTCGGAAACACACACAAGTGTTGGCAAGTGAAACAAAATAGCGGAAAGTGTCTTTCGAAGTTCCCTCACGAAGTCCACGGGGAGGTTCCAGTAAATCCCCACACTTTTACTGAAATATGGGGAAAGGGGGATTGACTTGACTGCCACTTACTTTGACTTGACTTATTACTTTGACCACGAGTGCTATAGTATTTGTATACCTACATTTAACACTTGACATTGGCTAAATGCTCGAGCCGTGCGAAGCCATTTAAAAAAAAAACAATGTTATCTTGTTTCTTTGTAATTGTCTATCTGTCACCTTTAACCTGTATGTATATTGGTATGTCTTGAAAGATTTATACAACATAAATGTAGGTATTGCACATATTTTACCTCATTTATTGATCTATAACAATATAAACAAATTCGTTCATTTGCCAATAACCTTTGATGTAGCCGAAATTTCTGGTTTGCATGCATATGAATAAGTAATCGTTGAATTGAAAGTGTCTGGAACCTTTTTGTAACATTGATATTTAAAGAAAAATGCGAGACAGTTACATATTGACACAATTAAGTAAATGTTTATTTTACATATGTTATGAAAAAGTACATGTGAATTGATTAATGTAAAATTCACGACCAACGTCCTGACTTAAAACCGTGTTTTTAAGTTTTTATATTCACTGTTAGAAATATGTAGAATGCGTTATATTTTATTTGCTGAAAAAGATCTTATGAATTAGTAATTTTAACAAAAAATTGAATACGATTTTTATAGTAGATACTTATTCGTTCTCTATTTTGGTATCATAATAAAATTGCATTAAAACAGTAATCCTATTTTTAAACGAAATTCTATATAATAACCCATATTTATATACACCCATCCTTTATCGCAACAAGTTAATAATTAAACAGTTTCATTAAATTGCGTTTATGAAATTTACGCTTATAGCGTTTGCTATTCCTTTATTCCGTAATGCCAATATTTGCCGCTAGCCAATAATGGCTGATTTAATAATAATCTGGGGCTGAGCATCGTAAATTCAACGCGCGTCCTGTACCAAGAGATTGCGAACTGTCGCTTTACGTCATGTCGCCCCAAGTAGTGACACTTCGCTGAAACGTAAACAGTTTTAATGCACGAGCGTTCCGCTAACTGAAAACTTTGCGAGGATTTGTCGATTCAAAGCATGTTACTTACTTCTGTTAATGTAATTATTATTTAACACAGTCTGGTTGGCGCCGGTAAGCACATGACAGATCCAGGAATATTATTGCTCCTTAAGCTAAGTAATAGGAGTCACATGTGGCAAAACTACTCTCTTTATTGAATTAGCTTATAATGGTAGCGACATTACCGTTTTCTTTGTCTCAGTGACATAGATGTGAAATATTTACTACATGAGTCGTAAACAACATCTTCTTATTTATATTCATATTATAAATAGTATTTCGTAACGCATTTTATATGATTAGTAAGTACTATTTAGGAAGCGATAATTATTGCTACTCCACTTCAGTACAGACTCTCGTCTCCACAGACGTTATGGGCAAGTAACAATGTTTTTCATTCCGCTCTTAATTCTATTGGCTGGTTTAATAATAAATAAGCCTTATCAATCTAATATGATTCTCGTAGTTCCAGATTCCGACCAAGAGATGCAAATCTCCCTAGAGTAAGTGTTCAGTGAACATTTGGAGTAGGTAGCTAGTGCACGCTGCACTATTTAGCTTGAATTATAAATTTCCTCTTCTCGTGTTGTGTGGTACACATTTGAGAATTTAAATGATTCACGTTTGAAGCTTTATAAAATTTGCACTTGTATTTATTTGATGGTGTCATGGAACTTTGTCTATCTATGAAAAATTTAGGACACAATCTTGGGTCTAATGAATTCACTATAACATAGTAGAATCTATATTCCATTCATATAGATATTATAAAGTTGTGCAAGTAACCTATGTGGTGGTAAAGTCCAGACGCAAAGAAAGCTGGTGCAGCAGTTATGAATTTTATTTGACATAAGTAGAAGCATCTAGTCTATATTCTTAGATGTTAATTACCAATAAGATATAAAAAGCAATAAACCTAGAAAATATACCTTACAATAATTCACTTTTCGGAAAACCTGTGAAGTCACTTCTGAGTTCGAAATCTCCAACTACAGACGTTAGTTATATATGTCACCGACAATCTGTATAATGCAGGTATTCTATACAATACCTAGGCAATGTATAGAATGCCTGGGGCGTCTAGGCAATGTATGGAAGATAAAAAATATTATTTTCCATTTTATACTTTGCCAAGGTAATACAATTCCTGGTGATTTTTTAAAGCACCTGCTGGCCCACCGGCAATGTTTAAAATATGCATATTTTGGTTAGGATAAATACAGACTAAATCTGTAGATTTAGCCTGTATTTATCCTAACCAAACCTAACCTAGCCTACCTATGAGGGGCGGATTTTATAATTCTCATCGAATGAAGTACTAACCAATGGACCTTTGACCAACACACTGTGGGTTAGGTTAAGTTAGTGTTGTGACCTAAAATTAGCGCGAGCCGAGCGAGCAAAGCGAGCGTGCCATGTACAGAATGCCGAATGCGTCCATACATTGTATAGAATGCCGAATTATAGAGATTGTCGGTAACATGTATACATGCCAATACGCCATTACACGGCAAAATTTCGCAATGACTGTTAAAGCTTGAAGCAGATGGTAATAAATACTTGACAATTATCAAAAACTCGAATTAACGAAATGAAAAGTTACAGAATCGATGTGAAACCACCTCTACCTTATATCAAAACAAAGACTAAAGTTAATCTCGGTTTAAATCTAATGTTGTCCCATACTTTTTTTTAACAAACAGAAGTGACAGCATCAGTTTTAGTAAAGGTTTAACTTTCGTCTACGATTTGTAATAATGCGGATTATGTATTTTTGTGTACGCGTGTGTGCGAAATATGTACAAACTCACGTTGTGGTACCAAGAGATGCGATGTTCCCTAGGGTTGGCACGAACAGAGCACTCAAAATATACGTCATCGCCCTCCTTTATATCGTGGGGGTTTAGAGTACTCCCCAAAGACAATGACACGACCGGTGGATCTGAAACAAAATGATAATTTGATCATTCCTGAAAAACGGAAAAGAACCTGATTACTTTCTTAACAGATATTATATTTTTGTTTTATATTCGTGAGTATCCAAACCCATATTAAAATACTTCCGTCTATCTTCTGTGATTATCTTAAACGCAAGTTCGTACATTACCGGATTTTCGTTTTCTTTATCGAACCCGATGCAGTCGTAAGCAGAAGATATCTTGTGAGGATGGATAGGAATGATAATTTACTTGTCTATCAGGGAGATCATCTAGCATTATTGAAACATTACAGAGACATATTGATTTGAAATGTCGCATGACATCAGGTCTTGGTAATTTTTTTACTTAGAAGTGACCTCACGAGCCCCTAATTCCAATTTATTTGATAATCTAACTGACGGACTAATTAGAATTGAATTAATTTACCCCGTCACCATCCCCATTTTTATTGAATTTCGCTTTAGTAGTTCATTAAGTACAATGCAGATTCAATATTTCTCGTAGTTTAGAAAATATAAGTGTTTGATATTTTGTTACGAAAATTGGTCGGATTTTTGATATGTAAATTAATGTTATTTATTTTGAATGAGGTGAATGTGAAACAAGACAACTTCTTGGAATCACGCGGCTTTTGTAGAAGCTTAAATTTCTAATAATATACTTTAAGACCTCTTATCGGGAATTTCTTTGGCTTACAAAATAATAAAGGTTAGAATTAAGTTGGTAGGAAATTGAATATTAACAACATCAAATACACTTAACATTATAAGATTATATGAACTTCTTCCAGGAATTCCCAAAATTCACCATTCATATGGTTCTGTCAGGTGCGTCGTCTGCGGACAGGAGCAAGCGTCGACATTTTATTGACCATTAAGGAGTTTAACGTCTCCCCGAGGCTGCAAAATCGTCGCCAAATAAGCATTTATGGCTCGCTTTCGAACTGTCGCCAAAACCGATTCCATCAAAAAGTGGTCTTGCTAATGTATATTCTCTGGATACGTATCAGTATAAAAGGATTTTCAAAAAAGGAAGTATAAATTTTTTTGATTCCAAAAGCAAATAAGGTAGTAGATTTTAAAAATATTTTTTTAGAATCTTTGCTGTTGAAGCAAAAAACTCGGAAATGAGCTTTAACTCAATAAAATCAACATAATGTGAGGAAACAAAATTTTCAGTCCTTTTAAAAATTAATAGATGGTTTGCATCATTACGTCGCGACAGTTTCTAAAAAAACGAATGAACCAAATAAAAGAAACAAGAAAATACTGTTACAAACGACAGGGCAAAGCCTACGGACGTTTTAATTTCTCCTTTCGCGGTTGAAATGACGTACAAAGGACGAACAAATTCATCGAGGAACCAGTCATTTTTCCAAAAGCGCGAGGAAGTCCTGACTCTATTAAGGGAAAGGAAATTAATTTCCGAATATAAATAAATTCCGTTTTGCTTCTGCTTGGCGTACCGTGACGCATTTCGAGCTAGCGTAATGCCGAATACCGCTTTTGGCGCGAATCGTTTTGGCAACAATTTAAATGGTGAAACGTAAATGTTTATTCACAGACGGTATCCTTGGCTGTGGGGAGACGTTATTGGTGTTTTAATTACTAATAAAACGTCATCACTCGTTTGTTCTGAAGCAGACGGAATTATCAATTATAATGCCATCTGCCCAAAATAGACGATTTTATGTAAGCAATCAAATATGATTCGGCTTTTATCATTTATTTTGTTTATTCATTCAAATAATCTTTATTTGTATAGCGATTAGTCCGAGTATCAAATTGAATACTTTTGATGTACTCATTTAGACATAAGTTTAAATATTTTAAAGTAGTTCGATTTCATTTTATTACTGTAGTCAGAGCCAATTTTTAAGGTGTTAAATATTTTAAAAGCTAAATGCTTATACGTTAATATATTGTATGTATGATTTAATTTTATGAAATAATTGAAGATCTAGTATTTTTACAAACGAACAAATAAATATTGTGTTAAATGATGTCATCCCTCTAGTACTAGATATCCAATCCAAGGAGGAAAGGAAGAAGCAAACATAGCTTTAAATTCACTGGCAAAAAAACTCGAGTTACGATTATTTACTTAGTGATGACTCCGCTTTGTGAGCGAGGAGGATCTCGTAGTAGTTAGGCAACTTTCTCAATGGCCATTGGCCAGTCAGGATAGTTGAACAAAATTTATTATCTCAAGCTCTTCCGCGGGTAGAAAGGCACGTTAAGACGTTATGCCCGGCTGTGTCTGCAATCGTCAACGATTACACTGAGCCGGAATCATAGTCCGTTCCTCTGATTAGGTCCATAGGATTAGCCCTTTCTCTTTGCAGGGACATTAATAGATTCATGACGATGACTCCACATGAACCTAACGAAGCTGTAATAGAGATTTGATTTTACTAAGTTGGACATTACCGAGTCATTGTGAGGACGCCAAAACGCAATGCTAAATCTTTATCCATAGTAAATAGTTTCAGCATATAACCTTTGTCATTCAGAGTTATGCTCGCTCAACCCTTTATGATAATGTGCGTTGGACTAAACTTTAACCTGAATTTCAATGTGCTGTATTTTGGGATTAACATGCACTTTTTCATAGTCTTACTGTACATGATGCCAAATTATGAGTAAATATTTTAATACTCGGTCGTTTCATCCAAAAAGGTAAATAAAAATCTTATTACAGTCAAATTGATTTTTTTAAGGGAAATGAAACTGGAACAATTACTATAATGAAATTAGGTGCCCGTGCAGTTTCAGTCAATATTAATATTTCAATAATCAGATCATAAAAAATGTCAAAGTACAGGCAGTTCCATAATAAAGTTTCTGTTATTCGTAAAATAAGTTTAGAAGTTCGTGGTAAAGTGTTAAAGACTATCTGTCAAGACGTTTATGACTATCAGAACAAGGTTTTTAATTAAAAATATGAAAGATCGTTTTAGGAATTTCCACATTTCTTTATTAGAAAACAACACTCGACTTTGATAAAGTCTTTTGCAAAAACAGGCAATTCCGATGAAAAAAAAAATAGGTAATACTTTTTCTTCATTAATCCATATAAAAATATTTTTGAATTATGTAAGGTTTATATATCATTAAACGGTAGGCACATTTTTACATCCGTTTAAAGAAGCTCATTCGCAAAATTAACGTAGCGACTTAAATATGAGTTATTCAACTGACTGTTCAGAAGAATAGAAAAAATTACAATGTTATGAGGAGACCTTGTCAAGATGCTTAGTAATGATAATTGTTATCAAGAGATCGGTCCATGAAGGAAGTGACCCACGGAGCCAAATTATCGCATTCTATGAGTCTAGTCTAGTACTCGATAATGTAGTCTTAAGAAAAAAGCTTTAACAAATTTGAGGAATAGAAGTTAGCCTGTCAAAGTCCAGGAAGTCTGGCTTTATGCACGCAAAAGCCTGCGTGCATATAGCCAGATAGTATTTACCGCCCTGAGCCATAAATTAGTCTCGAGCACAGTATTCATCCTAACATCAGTTTGATCATAATTGTGAGCACTTTGTACTTTGGAGAAATGGAATTGTATGCTGGGGATTTAGGGACGTCGGTGAGTGCTTTGAAGAGTAGGGAAGTACTATGTAGATATCAATCATTTATTATGGGAAGGCCGGTTATGTTTTGAACCGCTATGAATACGAAGCAGCGCACATCATTAAGTAGTTTTCATAAAAAATGGTATATTAAACTTACACTTCGCATATAGGAAGTCGTATTCTTCATGCATAACTCACTTTAACTGTTCTTGTAAACTTGGAAACATACACAAAAGAGATTGTATCCAATAGGGTTAACAAACATTTATTAGAACTTTAAAGAGCGAAAGTTGTATCCGAATTGTTTCATCGCTTTCTCCAGCGATGTGTAAAAGCAGTATTCGGGTATTAGAATGTTAACGTACGCTAAGCTTAGTTTAATCTGTGAGGACGTTTTGCGATCCCACGAGTGATGTTCTATCATATTAAGAAGTGTCGATAGTTTTAATATTCATTTTAGGGATAGGGAAAAGGGATAAACGAATAATTTTTGATCTGGTTTTATAGGTGAAAAACGACAAACATCCGCTAACGGCCCAGTCCGCTAACATCTGACCCGGTTAGTAGTACAAATATTTGCTAAACCAGCTTTACTTACTACTGGACTACACTAACATTTAACACATAGGCGGTAGGCGCTCAGGTGCAGCGGTGTAATTTGTTAGGCATTTCTTTAAAAACAATATATATTATCGCTGACCATACTAAGTAAACATAATTATAAAGATCAGTGTCTTTTGTCTACAGAATAGATATATGTTAGATTGAATATATTTGCCTAAGAACATGCTCTGTTTCTAGTTTTTGATAATTAGTCACAAGTGTTGTTGAACATCTTATTTTTTCGCATTTGAAATAAAACTCAAGTTCTTAATGATCATCTAATAGGATATTACCTATCTACTAAAATTATGGTTGATATTACGGCTTGTCAAGAAGACGTCCTATCTTATTCATCGCAAAGAAAGAGACACCAAGTACAAGCAAACTCAAAACTAATTGACTTCTAGTATTCGAGATTTTATATAATTCGGCCAGTCAGAGATTTAAAAACCATATTGTTAATGTAGAACGTTATGAATGTGCGTTAATTATTAATTGGCCACTTTTATAATTAAAACCGAAATATGTATGCCATTATTAACATTTTCCTATTTCATTACAAATAAACAATTTGAATGAGCTTACATTAATTTATGTTTACAAAATATTTGATCATGTATTCTCCGAAAGCCAAATTAAATTGAATTTAACAAGGTGGAAAATCGACGTAGTGTAAATATATTTCAGCAGTTTTTACCAGCGAACACAGTAGTAGTAAGTTAAATTCTATCGACTATACTATCGACATAATATGACTCGAGACTAGGGACGCAGGCGTTCTCAACCCGCTTCACTTAAAATTAGTTTTTGGTCTGCCCTCTT